CGTAACAATATTTATTTCAGTTACCTATGAAATGTGAGGTTAGGGTATACTAGTGGGGGGGGGGGGGTGGTACATACCCCGTTATTTTTGACGGGCTATACGTTAGTATTCCATATTTGGTAGTAGATGATGTTTTCTGTTGGAACTCTTGAGCCAATGCAGAAAGAGGCATGACTTCTATAATCTTTGCATTTAATAATTCGTTTTTTAGTTGTCTATTTTATCACTATTGTTTTCTTTCCTACCTCTCCGATGTCTTTTTTTTTTACTTCTTTAGTTTTGTCACTACAGCCTTGTTGTAGTTTTTAATTTTGTCTTTACAACGTGTTTGTCCTTCAACATTTCTTCAAACTTGTTGCTGCTTATTTTTACTCTTAATTCTTCTTTAAATATTACGACTCTTTCTTTTAACTTCTCTCTTAAATTCCCACCCTTTTCTTCTTGGTCTTTTAATTTTTTGCAAATTTCCTCTTTGGTTTTCTTTCAATTTTCTGTCATATTCATTCTTATCTTATTTTCATAATTTCATCATCTCAGACAATAATGTTATCTTTTATTTTCATCAAAACAATCCTTACTTCTGACACAAGTATAGTAATGTTGTTCTTTTGTTGGGCAGATTATTTTACATTATTTGGGGAAATAATTCAAAGTCAGGTCCATGTAACGATAACAAATTAGTATATTGTTACGTCTCCGTTTGTTAATTGATTTTTCCGTAACTTCGTTCTGACGAAATTTTAACGACACAAGTCTTTACTTAATAAAACTGGTTTATTCTTTCCGAATACAACTTTAGCGATACACTCAACTTCAACAATCGCGCTAAACAAACGCTAAACAACGAACGTGCTCAATAATACTTCTGACTGCAGATCAATTACTCACTGTCTATACACACACATTACATTCCGTTCTTTTATATACCAGCCTACCCTATCTAGTAAATACTAGAGCATTTGCCAAGATATGGGATAGTTCTAGAAACAAGAGGGCGTGAGAATAGTCACCTGATCTCGATGACGCAACAATATTTTTGCCCCCAACACCAGTTGCTCAGTGGCATGTCTGTAAGTTTACAGCACTAAAGGCTTGGTTTCGATACTCGTAGTGGGAAGAACACAGAGAGCTCATTGCTTAACAAAAACCCAAATTATCATATTCACAAATTTAAAGACTGTGGTACTATGTACGTCACATTTACAGCCACGACCACAGTACTAAACTGTTGTAAAAATATACTTACTTGGAAAAAATCATGGATGATCGATCAAGTAACTGATAATAAAACACTGACTAATTGTACGCTAACTGATACAAAACACTCTCTGTCTGATTCACTCTACCGACTAGAAACAACTCTATCTTCTCTTTTTAATACCTCCTGAACCTCGTGTTTATAATCGACTCGCTGAATGTACTAAAAACTTGACGTCAAATTCTAGAACATTTTTATGCTGCATTATTAAATTTTTCGATCTTAAAGTTATGCGTTTCTATCTCATAGTGAGAAAAAAATTAGCTTATAATACTATAACATTGCAAAATATGATGTAGTTTGACTTCGAAACAGGTTTTTAATAAAAGAAATAGATTGCTGAATGTTCTATTAATAAAAAACAATAAAAACGTGCAAATTATGAAGAAATGTTATAAAACCATATCATAAACATAAGACAAATCAAATTAAATTGGTGTGTGTTTTATTAGCAAAGCCAAATAGGGCTACCTGTTATGTCCTCCGAGAAGAATTGAACCCCTGATTTTAGCGTTGAAATCCGTAGACTTACTGTCGTCCCACCGGAGGACCAAATTAAGGGCTTGTACGATATTTAATTTCCATTTAATATTATTATTTATAAAACCAAAACCAAATCGTATAAATACTTTTATGAATTTTATTTTTTTTCTAGATGTCGTACTACCATAATGCAACGTGGATTAATTTATGACGCTGTTTTGTGTTGCTTCATAGTGCTGTAACTTTGTGAACCTGTCGTTGGAACGAGATTCGTCAGAAAACCATTATTTCGAAAATGAAATATTTTACGAAGATAAATTTGCCATTATTGGTTGTTTATAATATTTTTTGCATATTTCTTCTCATTTATGTAGAGAAAAGTGTGGGAGTTTCTATTGACAATGCATTAAACAACAAAGAGTTTATTGATTTTCAGAATACTCCGAATAGTACAATTACAAATGAAACTGATGTTGCCAGTGATAGTGATACTGATGATAAAGACGTTAAAGGTAAGTGTAAACTGTAATACTAAAGACAAGGCCTAACTAACCCCGAGTTTTTTTTTGGGTTTTTTTTTCAGAATTTGTAGTGCGTACTGGAGGGATTTGAATATTTTTGCAATAAAGTTAGTTTTGCTCTCCATATCATAATTTTTTTTAGTTCAGCCATCGTTTTGCTATTGCGGTTTCATGAACTGATTATGAAGATTATTTCTATTATTGGTAATATTGAGTTGGAACTTGTATTTGTAAGTTGCAATGACGAAACGTTGGCTAAAATAAAAATATTTTCTATTAGTATTATTATCTGTAGAATAAAGGTCGTTTTTTTTCTTCAACTAACCATGAGTTACTAGTTTTGCCAACCAAAGCAAGAGAAGTAGTGGTATTAACTGTGATAATATGAAAAACATATTTTTCACTTGCATCAGAGCAATTGAGAAGGAATAATTTATGTATATATTGCAGTGGTGTACATAAAGTAAAGATCATATGTTGCACATTGCAGCAGTGTAAAGAAGCAGGACAGAATGCTGTTATCAAGACACACAGTAGTGTGTCATGCGGCCAAAACAACCAGCTGCAGGACACTGTGTTATTAACAGGAGTGATAATTTAGCAATTTTCCACATTCTGTACCTCAGACTGTGGTAATCCAAAGTATTGTATATTTTCAGTGGATGTGTTCTTCTGGACTCTTACTTCACATACCAGAATACCTGACATATAACATCTCCAATTTTGATTGAGTTTCTTCTTTTTTTTTCTTCTTTGCACCAAAAGTACAAAAGCTATTCGATAGAAAAACATACATCCTGCTATCTATGATTGGTATCTAAACCTTTTTCTAGTCTGTTTTCTTTATAAAACCTCAGTTGTAAAACTTTTAGCCAATCCTAGTCAAAGGTGTCAATTTCAGTATCATGTTATTCCAATCGCTGTATCTCACATTTAACAAATCATAGGATGATAAGGAAAGCACGTGATGAAACGTTGTTCTCTGAATTTTACAGTATGAATGTGGGTAGTGCTTATTATGGTAACTGCCATTTTATTAGAGGTTGTATTTAGTACTGGCCAATAGGGCTTTTCTATAAGCGTTAGAAAAGTTGCTTCTGGAAAAAACTGCATGGGATATACGTGACTTTTATTTTTCTTATATAGTAGCTTAAGTCATGCTGCATGGTATATCTGTTTATATTAATCATTATATTGAAAAATTAACTCAAAATAGATATATTTTTTAGGAAAGAAGTTGATCCACAATTGTTAGGGTTAAGAGCTATTGAATGGCGAGTGCAAGGTCTTTACATGAAGTAGGCTTACAACTTTGAACTGAAAGAGTTTGTGATTTTTGATATTCTTTTGTATTTAAATTTGCAGCTTTAAGTTCAATAATTTAGTTCATAATAAAAATATGATTTAGTATTTATAAGGATAACTTTGTGTCATTTGTATGTACTACTAGTACCACTTTGATAGTTTTAGGCTTATCGTAAGAATTTTATAATTTGTTAAATTACATAAATTTTATACAAAAGTTACAAATCAAGATAACATGCATACAAAAGGAGCATCAATGTATGGATAAACAATATCAAATTTATAAGTTATGCACTGAGAAGTATACGTACAGCTGTTAGTAGATGATGAAGCACAGGTCTGACTTTGAAGAGTTTATCATGCTTAGGATCAGTTTTAGGTGGATTATTAGTATTGTCATTGAAATGAAAGAAGCGAGCAATAGTTATGAATTTTTCTCTGGAAAATATTGAAGAAAACCAGGGAAACTGAAGTGAAGGAATGGTAGACCAGTAATCTGTAATAAATGGTAAGCGAGTTATACCCCCAGAAATAGTTAAACCAATAAAAGCTAAAATTTCTTCAGGAGTAACATCACTATATTTCAGCAGTTTCCTTTTCTTCCTGACATCGTTGTTTAGGTGTTCCCCTTGCTGGTGTGCAAATCTGTTTGTTTCTTCAACAATTTTGGTAACAATGCTGAGAGAAAAAAAAAGTTGAAAAAAAAATCAAGAGGAGTTTGACACCTACTTGCTTGACGGGAAACAGGCTCTCCTCGGATGAAGTTCCTCAACAATCTGGGCTGCTCAACCTTGAGAACTTCCCATTTCCATTCTGCACAACAGGCCAGGGGCTTTTCTTGTGTCTTCTTTCCTCTGGCCATTTTGGAAGTTGTTGTAGTGCTGGTCATTGGAAGATAACTAACCTCAGATTGTTGGTGGTCATGAGGAGAGTCTTCTTCCCTTGAAGGTAAGTCAGTCTCCTCAAACAAATTTGAGTCCAATAAAGCTGGTTCTTCCTCCTCTCCATCTTTATTTGTGGGTTCTTCAATCTCAGAAAGAGACTCCTCTTCAGAGGAGGAACCGAAAAACAATTTCAGAGCCTCATCTAATGAAAGATTTTGTTTTCTTTCTGAGTAGAGAAGTATCTTCCATCTAAGAAACTTAATATGCTGTTAATATTCAGTTGACATAATGGATATATATACATTTGAATTATTGAGCTTTGACTTTAAGAATACATTTAACAAATGTACATTTTGTTTGTATGTGTATGGACATAAGCAAAATCACAAAATATAGTAAAAACTAATTCATATGATGTACAACTAATGAAGCTGATTTAATTTATCATCAAAAGTAAGAAATACACCATGGAAATTTACTAATTACATGTTATATAAAAAAGCATACATCTTACTTTATGTGGTATCCAAGTATGTGTTGGGAGATACTTCATTCTACCTCTTTATTCTTGATATCCAAAAACTAAAAATAAATGCAAGAAACTATTATTTTGTGTAAGGAGCAGGTAGAACTAATACTTTCAAACAGTTTGTACATAAATATGTAAATACTTCTGATATTACATTACTGAAAGATATCACTCCATGTATGATGGTGATATATGTGTGTGTATAAACTAAAATAAAATAAAGTGAAAATAAT